CCCCAAAACCCCAAAACCCCAAAACCCCAAAACCCCGGAAATCATTACTATTATTGAAACTTATTTATTCCTCAATGACTTGCGATTGATCTTTGGCAGGTTGTCAATGTTATAGTCTGATATACTCAGATTGGCCTTTTTGATGATCCCCTTAGGGGAAGAAAGGACTGACTTACTCATCCTCTTATTTCCCCTATATTTGTTACCTTTGAGTTTCATCTGTCTGACCTCAATTTTTACTTTGTCTTTACTTTCTTCATTATGAGTTCCTGAAATATCTCTTTCTGCAGACTGAGTGGCCTAAAGATTTAAATTTAATTCTAACTCTTTGGGTTTGTTGCACTTGGATTAAGTATTTCTCAAATATGTTATTCAGGCTCACACCCATTGACTCAAATGGCTTTTCCACATGGAGTGAATTAAGCAACCCTGCCATCATTACTTCCTTCATCTTGACAACCTGAGGGGGTGCAAATTGCATTTCTCTGTACACAAAAGGCAAATTGTACATCGAAGAATTGTTGCAGTTATTATCCAAATTGAACTGACCTTTGTTCCTGGTTGACCTATAAAGAATAATCCTACCAAAGCTACCCTCGATTTGTTAAGAACTTCTTCATGTTGATCTCCTTGCTTTCTAAGATAGAGGGGAACTTCTCCTGGCTAATATTGATGCTATTTGAGTAAATCTGGTCTTTTTCATTATAATACTCATGCACCTCGTACTCATTCCTGAACTTTAAGAATTCAGTCAGCTTGGCACAGAAGAATGCAAGACTGGTTATATCCTCAATGGACAGGGATATTTTAGAATCCAGTTTGTCAATATCAGTTTTGAAGGAGTTCTTTAGAATCATTAAGTCACTTTTGTCCCTCTTGAATTTCTTAGCAAGGATTTTAAATTCTTCCAAATCAGCATTAACTTCTCTCATGTTTTTGCTAACTTCAGTAGAAAGATCAAAGACAGCAGTCTTTCTGTCCTGGATTTCTTGCTGTAGTTGCTGGTATACCTCTGAAAGCTGTGTGTCATTGATAATCCCCTGGATTCTCTCGTTAATGGACTCTAAAGAAATAATAGGAGATTTACCTGTGACATTAAGAAATTTTTGGTCGAGCTCAGAAATTTGAGCCATAATATCGTTCCTAGTTTGGTCTACGTAAGCTGTATCATACCTTACATTTTCTTGCGCATCAGAGTCTGATTCCTCTTCACTTTCAGAATCTCTAAGGTCTTGCCTTGAAACATTAGAGGTTTGGTCAGAATCTGAGACATTTATGCTATCATTCTCAGTTCCAAGAGGAGTATGGGATCTTTCGTTCCCTCTTGAGCTATTGAAGTTCTCTTGATTAATACTCCTCTCTGATTTCTTCTTGGACTTATGAGGAGATAAAGACCTTGATAGCTGAGTAAGGAACTCATCTTCACTATTCTCATTCTCAGAGTCACTAGCAATATTTTGCCTGGTTTCTAAGATAGCTTGGACTGGTTTTCTTTTAACTATTCTTCTGCGCTGTGGATCACTAGCCTTGACTGTGTCATTTTCAGACTGAGATTTCTTCCTATTTCTCATGCTTCTGTTTAAAGAGCCACGACTGACTGCTGACATGACAGGATTCAGAAGTTCTCTGTCAGAATTTGCTTCGACATCCTTTTCTTTTTCTATTTCAAAATTCTCAGAAGAGAATTTGCCGTAATGAGATGAAAATTTGACATCTGTCTTATCCTTTTGAGGTGCCTATTTGATCAAAATGGAAGCTTACAAAGCTATTCTTGGAGGACATTACAATGTTGCTACTAGGACTTTGAGGTACATCCTTTGGAAGACTCACTTTTGAACTTGGAGTAGGAACTTTCTCAGGATGATTCTTATCACTCTCAGTTATGGTTTGACCTCCCTCAATTTTTGTTCCTTTAAATCTTGAGCTCTCAGGTATATCACCCCTCATTGGAGTTTCTGAAATATTCTGGGAAGGATCCCAAGAGGTCTTGCTTATATGATCTTCTTGTTGAGTAATCTCTTGTACAACAGGGACTTCTATCACTGGCTGCTTGCTTTCTTCAGAAGGTTCCTCATTGTCTTTCTGGTCAGGATTATCAGGCTCACTCTCCCCACCCTCATTTTCGAAATCATCTTCTTCCTCTTCTTTGTGAGGGAGCTCTTCTTTATTATGGTTTGCCTGATTTATTTGAAGATCTCTTTTAGAGTTTTGACCTTCTTTTGGGGTGTCTGCAATTGAAGTAGGCTCTTTACTAACATCAGGAGTCGGATTTGCAAACTTTGGGCTTAAATCATGCTCTGGAGAGTCATTCTTAACTGTTTCAAAATTCACCTTTTTCTTTGAAGATATTTTTATTTTATTCTTTGGTGTTATCATAGACTTCTTTAAGCTTTTTGAATTCTTAACTTTCTTTGGGTCTATATTTAGGTTCACAGCAGCTTTTTGGTCTATTGAGTTGTCTTGTGACTTTTCTCTATCATTCTTTAACTTAGAATCTTTGGGTTTACTCTTAGAGTCATTCTGTTTCTGACCTTTTGTCTCTTCCAGTGGGCTCTTCCTATCAGTTAATTTTAGAGTCTGATGTTTAGAAACCTGGAAGGAATGAATTTTATTTAGAATCCTGACTCTCTTTTAATGTCTTCCTACTCTCATGATTGGGTTCTCTCGTCTCCTTCTCAAGTGCACTATTCTCACCATTCACGTAAGAAGCTCGGCTGTTGGATCTTACCTCTTGTTTATATTCAAATTTATCCCTCCCAGTTGCCTTAGCAATTTTATTTAACTTCTCCTCTATATTAGCTTCTTTATCTGAAACGATATGAGAGGTCATCTTCTGCATCTTTGTTTGGAGCATACTGTTCAACTTTTTCTGCTTCTTGCTGGACAAAACAGGCCCCATGGTTCCTGAAATGGTAGACTGGATTTTCATGGGCATATATTTGTCCAAATATTCCTCTAGAATATAGATCTTCTGGGTATTTTCCTTCACTTTATGTTCAAGTATAGAACAACTATTAGAGAATTCACTTGATAATTTATCTATCATCTTGTCAGTTTTGGAGGTATCCAAGCTTTTCTTCACTTTCTCAGCAAGCCTTTTCTGGTAGTCTTTCGAACTTTCCAGCTTAAGGTGGTACTTATCCAGATTTGCTTGGATGCTTTCAATGCTTGCAGAGAGATCAATGATGTCAAATTTGAATTCATCAATTTTAGATTTCAAATTTATCTTTGATTCTGAAATCTCTTCAGAGATTTTCAGGATTTTCTGGTTATTAGAATCCTTCAAATCAAAGAAATATTCACTGAGATTTCTAATCTCTCCGTTATTCTTCTCTAATAAATCTTGAAAAGTTCTTGCTAATTCGGCTGCATATGAGCTCATGTTTTTAGCTTCCATTAACTCTGCTTTTACAGCGTGAAGGTTGTGCTTGGTTTCCTCTCAAGCCATCTGACTTTCGGTTCGAAGGTCAGTAATACGTTTATCTAAATTTATAAACTCAACAGTGCCTGATTCAAGTCTTTTAAGTCTGAACTCAGAGTCCTGTTGCTTGTCACGCAGCTCTTCCAAAGATGAGTCAAGTGCTTTGCAGTTATCTGAGTTATCTTCATTAGACTTGATAATAGGATTTATCATATCTTGGATTACCTTTCTCATCCTCGTTTCGAAATGGAACCAGTCAAATTGTTGATCCCTTGTTTTATGCAAGGGTGACAAATCGTCGCTGTCATCTAGGTTGTTCATTTATTTTATAAAAATAAAGGGGTTTTGGGGTTTTGGGGTTTTGGGGAGAT